TTACCGTAATTCGGAAACCAAATCACCTCCAAAGTTTGGGGAGATTTTAGTATCTTTTTTTCTTAGGCCATCATCGACTAATAGAGTATGTCTTGAGCTGATCTAGGTAATTTTACTTCATCAATTAGTGAATATGGAAATTTTAGATATACATTTAAGCAGGAATCCGAAAACGTTTTCTCAATGCTACAGTGATGAAGTTTATAACTAATTCAAACTCCGTCTATAGCTGAATGTTCAAAAAACTCGTTAGGTCAGTGAAATGCCACTAAGCCTTAGTCAAATCATCCGGCAGCTGGGTCGCCGAATATTAAACCGATCATCGATCTTCGTCAAGCTTAAAGGCCATCAACGCGCATTAGTTAATCGTTCGCAATCAACTGGCCCACGTGGCGATGGTCTTACTTTCACTTGTATCTACTTTAACTATATATTTCTGTAATAACATCCTTTGTGCTGTACAGTCTTCAAAGCATCTACAGTACCTTGATACGTGGATGGGGCAATCCACATAAGGTGCTGACCGCGAGGTGTAACTTCGACGTCAGCTAGATCGTTACACCATTCCCGTCTAACTCTAATAGGCCCCCAATCATTCGATATAGATCGTCTACACTGGCGATCTATAAACTGATATGTCCCTTTAGCATAATTTTTAGAGAACAGACCAGTTAGGGTAAGATTCGCTTTCACTAAATATAGTTGTAATTTAGTTCCGAAAAGGTTTTTGGATAGCATATGAAAAATCACCTGAAATACTTGTGAAGCACTAAATGACAAGACATGTTTCGTTTCTTCAGAATCACAATGATAAGAAACACAGCATATAGCATAGAATAATATGTACGGTATAGCACTGTGATCGCCGTGAATGTATGGAATGGATGTGGTCTAGACGACTTTGATTTCTACCCTACCGTGTCTGATAACTTATCCGGCTATAAAATTCCATAAGTAAGGAATAGTGAGGCAACTTAAACATAGCAACCAAAATTAATCAATTCGAAAACTAAGGGAAGCCAATTTAATAAAAACTGGTGTTATGTATTTTGCCCCTGTCAGTTATCATGTGACAAAACCGCGAATCATAATACCGACTTATATGACCATGTTTTTATCCTTATTGGTCCTTCTCACCTAGCTCTATCAGTTGAGTCTGTAATACGAACACTCTACTGTGCGAATAATATATTTCAGACATACGTAGTTTATAGACAAGCAAATCAGGCCGCATCATACCATAAAAAGTGACTATGAGTGTTAGAGACTGTAACTGACAGCTTGGGAATAAATTAAAGGTAGTAAATCGTATAATAATAGCCAATAGTTAATTGAAAGCTTATAAATGTGTATGATCCAGTTACTTACCAGTTATGCAATAAGAATACATATATAATAACAGTCTACAAATAGTTCGCGAAAGTTAGTCAAAACGTAATCTTCGGATACAACAACTGGCTCACTTTTAAGTGACACCTTTATCAAGAAAAGCCACACTAATCATACAGTAATCGAAAATTTTCCATCTCTTATTCACTGTATACATAGTAGTAAAAGAGCCTTACAGTCGAAAATCCCTAAAATCAGAGTGCTAATATATGATAATCCATCAAGTATAATAGATTTTCGTAAACCCTGACTAACAAAATGCCTTTAATGGCCGCCCTGACACTGCAGGTAATAGAGTTGAGCTTTATGTGTCTTTAACCCTTAGAACTTACTAAACCTTGTACATAAGAACCCAGTATTGTGAAACGCCTGGCTTGATAACTTTGTAGGATTTTGGAGACCCCACTGCTCGAAATTGTTCATTTTCTCTGGCTATTAGAGGGGCTCTCGAAATGAATTATTTCCAGACGTCCCTAATTTATTTCCCAAGACAGCCTTTACTAACTGACTGCAGATATCAATGACTCATCAAACTCGTTTAATGATGTCGATGGTTGAGAATAATAAGATCTTAAATAGCTTTATAAATAAAAACGTTCATCTGTCGATGAAACTGATGAATCGCAACTACTCACATTAATTTCTCGATGCTAAGATTTAAGTGAATGTAATCCATATATATTCGTAGTGCTTAGAAAGAAAGACAGCGAGGACAGTGTCATCGCTTTTCGGTATTGTTAATAGTATTTTAAAGTTTTATGTAAATTGGATTGGTAAACTCAATTTTTAAATTGGTAAAGTGTTCGTTGTTGATGAATATTAGCAATAAATATCAAACCCTTAACCACAGGTCACAATGTCTGGTCACACTTACTTACATTTTATTACTTACGCGTGTTACCCCTCGTGGAGGAGCATAGGCCGTCCACCACTATTCTCCATCTAACCCCGTCCTAGAAAATCCCTTCCAGTTGTTTCAAGTTGTTGTTTAACCTTTTCATATCTGCTTCCAATTCTCGACATAGTGCACACTTTTGTTTTCTGATTTTACGTTTTCTTACGGGAGTCCAAGTTAGCGCTTGCCTAGTGATGCAGTTTGAGTATTTCCGCAGTGTATGCCCTATCCACTTCCAACGCCTTATTCTAATTTCTTTTTCTACTAAAAACTGGTTTGTTCTCTCCCACAGTAAACTGATGCTGATGGCATCCGACCAACGGAAATTGGATTTCTTGACTAGACAATTGTTTAAAAATACTTGTACCATTTTGATGATGATTGTGGTAGTTCATGAAGTTTCAGCTCCGTACAGTAGAACTGCCTCGACGTTCGTATTGATGATTGTGGCTTTGATATTGATTAACTGACAGTTGTTTTTAGTTCCATATGTTGTTCGACTGTATAAATGCTTTACTTGTTTTAACGATCCTCATATTTACGTCTGCATCTGATTCTTTTTGTTCATCGATGATGCTGCCAAGACAGGTACATGAGAGATTCCACTCCTTCCAGAGTTTCTCCATTAAGTGTGATTAAATTAGTATTTTGTGTTGTATTTAATGATGTTGCTTTTTCCCTTGTGTATGTTGAGTGTTAATGGTACAGAGGCTTCTACCAAATTTTTTGTTTTCATCTGCCTTTGTTCGTGTGTATGGGATAGAACAGCCAGGCCAGTTGTGAAGCCCAAATCATCTAGTTGCATGAAAGCTGTCCATTGTATTCCGTACTTCTCCTCAGACGTGGAGGTCTTCATTGTCCAGTCGTCCACCAGAATAAAAAGATAGGGGTAGAGTAGACAGCTTTCCTTGACTTCTGTCCTCAATTTGAATACACCTGTCAGCTGTCTTCCATATATAACTTTACAGTGCATTCCCTCATATGAATTCCGGATAATGTTGATCTTCTCAGGTACTCCACAGTGTCGAAAACGTTTCCATAATGTCTTATTATACATGCATTAAAATGCTTTCTTATAGTCAAGGAAGATGATGTATAGTGATGAGTTCCATTCAACTGACTTTTCATCAGGGGAAAAATCTTCCTGAATAGAATGTGATGTATGTTTGCAGATACTTCCATGTCTGACTTCGTTGCTCCAGTTGGTTTTGCACCATGTCCTACTGCCTCCCCACTGTTGATTTGTGTGATGACCATTCTGATCTATTAAACCGTTTGTGGAGTTGTAGTGAAAGAGAGCATATGAGAGGATAACCGAATATATTTGAACATAAAATTACAGAACGTCTTAGTAAAATCAGAGAACCAGACAATAAATACATCCTTTGCAAAATGCCAATCGATTGTCTCAAGCTTGACTGTTCCTTTACTTTGACAGAAATCATTTTCTGTTTTCATTCTCTTTTCTTTGATATTCTTAACCTTCTGCAGCAAGGTATTTCACACTCTATTGATGATACATACTACTAACGTCTATCGACCTCAGTAGCACACACAACAAAAGTGACAGCTATAAGAGATTGTATGTGTTCTGCTTCGATATTTGATGGATGCAATGGTGCTTTTCTACTCAAGAGTTCCACGAAGTCTTCCACCCATCTTTCGTAAATGATCTGTGTCGAAAGGTTGGGTTTGTAATCGAGTGTAGCGTTGAGTCGAGATTGACTATGAACACCACTACAAGGAGACGCGTACCAAACAAATCAGAAGGCAAAGATTGAACGTAACCAGATTTATTTCGTTGGCGATCTCGTGGTATCGGGAGAATACCGAGATCGTGCCAAAAGAAGTACAAGTTGAATGAGCGGGCAAGAGTACGAATGTACCAGGTTACAATCCGCGGAAGAAGTAACGGAGAGTAATGGAGTAGTAATATGGCTGTCATTAGCACAGTTAAACATAAGTACATTAAAACAAGCGCAGGTACAATTGGTCATAATATTATTCTTGCATTGTTCCGTTGTACTATTTAAACTTGGATTAATTTAATTTGGTTATTTATTCTCTGAAGAAGTGACTTACACTAAGCCACGAAACGTCAGAAAAATCCAATTTTCTACTCATTGGGATATTACAAATATATTATTTTTATTCATAATAATAATAGTTGTTTTCGTTAAATCAATCGTGTTCTCGTAACCAAAGTAAGTCACAACACGAGCTAAACAATAATGGCGCGGTCAACCAGCTAACATCGAAGTTACACCTCACGGTCGTCACCTAACGGGGGTTGGCGTTTCGTTACATGCGGGTGCCATGGTTACTTTGGTGACTGCACAACAGAAACAACTTTATCACGAAAATATGCCAGTAAGATTAGGTACGAGGAACAGAGTACGACCACCATGGCATGGGCTAGTCCACTGAGTGCAATTAACTGATGGGCGCTGGTTTTCCTAAATCTTGATGAGAATCTGTGAACTGTTTGCTATTCAGTGACTCAACTGCCGGATGACTTGGATAGGGCCCAGTGACATATCACTGGTACTATAATTTAACGACTGGAACATCTTACGTGAATAACTGTTATTGGTCCCATAAGTGGATACTTTCCAGAAAAAAATAGAAATTCTCTGGAAAACAACCTGCAGAGATTAACACAGGCCTAGCGACTTACTATCCTCATCACAGAAGACTGGTTCTTTTGAATGAAGTCCTCTGAGCGACCTTGGCGGAAGGTCAATGGGGGCGAATACTTCGAATATACTTGATCAGTCCGAGGTTGAGGAAATTGCACAAGAAACTGGATGTAGGTTTGATATACATCTCTCAACCCTTTCCATAAGTTTCTCCAAAACAAATTTATCGATTGTACAATAGATATTTGGCTTTGGACAAGACGAACGCCGGGTACTTGAGGTTAGTTTGACTTACCACTAGTTTGAAGTTGTTTTTAGTAATAAAATGTGACTAAGATGCTCCCAGTTAACTTATATTTCACTTAGTTTGGAAAAAGTCTCTGTTTCTTAAGATAATGTCCCTGCTTAAGGGGGATTTCGTTCAGATTTCAACATAATAACCAACTTTACACCTAAATATGTAGGCGAATATAAGTGAGTTTGCTAGTATATATTTGTTTAGTCAAAAGGTAAACGCCTTCATGAAAGTGCAGACGTAAGTTTGAGTGTCAAAAAAGTTCAGTCTGAATTTCTTCACGAAAGAAACAGTTTCGGGGAAAGTAAACCCTTTTATTAGACCTGAGGAGGAGCTATGCGGTTACATTTCATCTAAATTGGCACTAAACTGTTATGAAGGCTTGCTGTTAATTACACAGAGTTGTTTATTTGAAATAAGTGTGTTTGGTTAATTCAGAAGTTCATGCTATACTAATAATACCTGTCGTTTGGGGTTAACAGTATATTATTACGAAGTGTATGGCGACTACCGAGAATTTGTCACATTGATGTTGCAACAACTCAGGTAAAAACATACGGCTTCTAGGCGGTTGCTTAATGGGAAATGGGTGAAACTTAAGCCCATAGACAGTTTCAAATGACTCGTAAAATGATGGAATGTAAAGCTAATTTTTAGCCACTGAAAAAGCGGGTTGTGAAAATTGTTGGTTTTTAATAGAACATTTAATCGTAAACAAATAAGACAAAATGTATGTAAAATCTATAGACGACTAACAGATTGTTCAAGGTTTAAAAAATGCTTGGTTTTAGGGACCAAAAAGCAACCTTATAAGTTCCCATCCATTGACCGTATTGTCATTCTTCTTAACTCAAAGCAACCCCGGTTGATATGAATACATGTTTATTGGTTTTTAAGTTAACATGTGATGAAGAGATGATCTTAAGTGCTGTTAAAGGTATAAAGGGAGCTCTCAGCTTATGGTTCCTACAACGTTAAAGGATACTTCTTGATGGATCTGAAAAGGATACTGGGGTAGTCATGTTTTTGGCCGCCTGGGAGCGCAGTCGCAAATTTTGACAGATAACTGCCTAAGTCCTGTTATATACGACCTTTCTTCGAGTATTATTTATGTTAGTCCCATGATGTCACTCGGAGTCTCCAACCATTGGTTACGATAGTCACACGGACCTCAACCAAGTAGTCTGCATCTACCAACATGGTTCAGGCTAGAAGTTAGTGACCTTTTGTCTGTTGTGGTGAAAAAGCGCCGCTTGAAAGGCTGTTTTTTTGCTGGAAATCCTGTACTGCCGTCACAATCTAGTACAGTTGGCTGTGCAACTTGGTTTTTGGACATTGATTTTGCTTCTCTACAGTCGACATACCTGACTTGGTAGGATCTTACAAGTCTCAGCCAATGTGCCTCGATTAGGCTATCATGTTATGCAGTTGTGAGTACCACGTAATGGTTACAGCTACGGTTGGTTGGTTGGTTAGTTACTTACATTTAAGTTGGGCATTAAATATTTTAATGTACGTGAAAAAAAGTTGCTCTGAACGCACTTCTCTGTATTTATTTCATTCACTTACCCTGTTTTTTATGATATTTCAGGCGTCATGATTTTCTATTAATTCCAGAATTAGCCATTAATCCACTTGGCGATCGAATCGTGAATGAATTTTTTAAAGATAGGTAAACTAACACATCTTTTAATGCTCATTATCTATAAACATAGTTATAAGAATTAATAGTTGTATTTCTATCACTATGAATCTGTGTCATTTCCAGGTCTCTCATAGTGTGTGGGGTGAATTTGTCGAATGCATCAACTAACCACTTGAATTTTTGATGGGTTGGTAATTTTCAACTCTTGACATGTTTGTACCAACTATGGTGTATTTAATATACCCACTTTTACCCATTGAAAGACTTGAATCGGGTTGCAAACACTTAGTCCGTAGGATTTTTCTCAATACATCATCCGCACATGTTGATGTAATCACATTGTGACTAATGATGAGGTTATTCATAAGATAGTAAGTAAGAATGGTAAGTCAATCAAGAGGCCTGAACATATTGATTGACTTTAACGTGGTTTAAATATGTGTTACTCAAGTCTTCGAATTTATACTTGCACTGTTTGTCAACATAAAGTAACCAAAAGAATGAAATTGATAACAGTAGCAAATAAACTTAGTAGAACATAAGTTTTTTTTTTGAAAATAAGTGTGAAACGATAAGTCATTATGTGTTAAGGTTTTAGTTTCCCTATTGCTGATAAACCAGAAGTGGATTTGATTAATTTATATTAACTTATGGATTTCCTAGACCACTAAGTTAGCATGTGTTTTAACAAAAAACTACTGAGTTTTATTCTCAAATTAAACCACAACGTGGAGAAAAGTGGATGCATACAGCTGATGAAACGTAAATACTGAATGGAATAATACGATCATAAGAGTTAACTCCTTGGGTATGATGTTGAATACTAATGGGGGAAATCTCCTTACTCGGAATTATAATGGTCAGCCTTGTACAGTTAAGTTCAATCATACGGAGAATAAAACCTTTATATCATGAGCTGATTGGATGAAGTTGGAGACCATTATGTTTCTCCAACTCAGTGGTTTAAGTGCAAATGAAAAACTGAAACAAATGAGTAAGCTGAAACTTGCAAAACTTAAAAAGAAGGCAGAGTTACTGGCAGATAGATATTTTATTCACTCTCTCAATACATGACTACGATTTATTAACTAAATACATTTTTTTATGTACATATTTCACTGGCATATGAACAATCGTCAAGACATACCATACGTAATCTATATAGTCGGGATACAGAATGGATTTTTCACTGAATTAATAAAAAGTGAACTTCCCATGCCTCTTCGTTGTCTCTGCTTACTCTCCCACTGACTGCAGCTCAGATGATGTAAAAGACAGATTTTACAGAAAGCTTTTCGACCTTCTCCGAAAAGCTAGGCGCTCGGATGTAGCAAAAGTGGCCGGTGACTTTAATGCTCAAGTAGGTAAACTTAGCGATAGGGAAAGACACCTGGGTGGATCTTATGGTGTCGTGGCTCAAAGAACAGATAGTGGCGACCGTCTGTTGCAGCTATGCTCAGATAACCGCCTGTTCCTTGCAAATACTAACTTTAGGCATAAGGAAAAACATCTTTTAACATGGAGACCCCTAATTCGTCCCAACGTTGGACCCAAATAGATCACATCGCTATCAGCCACCGATGGAGGGGCTCGATAGAAGACTGTCGCTCATTCTGGAGCACATGCCTAGATTCAGATCATGCTCTAGTGCGAGCGCGTATTTGCTTGCGTCTTACTGGACGTAGGAAAGACGCTGCAAGGAAACCTCTTAGGGCCTACTTAATGATAGTCAAGCTAAGAGTATATTTCAGGAACAACTAGGAAAACAGTTAGGCAGCCATGTATGTGATGCCCACCCCGAGGCAGCATGGAATGATATCCGAAAAGCTGTGGAAACAGCAGTGATATCTGCTAGTAAGGTAAACCAGAAGGTTAGGGAGCAACACTGGATCTCAGCAGCATCTATCTCACTGATAGATGCTCGGAAACTCATTCCACCTGGCTCTGAACATAATGAAGAGCGGAGTCAGCTTAAGCGCAAGCTGACAAGAAGTCTACGCAATGATCGCGAACAGTGGTGGGTAGCGAAAGCAAGAGAGATGGAAAAGGCAGCGGCAATAGGTAATAGCAGACAATTGTTCAGACTCGTTAAGGAAACCGGAATTAGGAACCCGACCGTTAGCGAAACAATCTCAGAAAAAGATGGACATATTATTCATTCTCAATCCAGGAGATTGGATCGATGGGCAGAACACTTTAGGGATCAGTTCAACTGGCCTTCAGCCACACTTCGGTTTCCCACGATCTCCAGTCAACCTGAATGGCAAGTTAATGTAGGTCCTCCGTCTCTTTACGAAGTTGAAAAAGCCATAGGAAATCTGAAACGAGGGAGAGCAGCAGGCCCTGACAGGTTTACTCCTGAGATTTTTAAGGATGGTGGTCCAGTATTAGCAATGAGATTAACCGAGGTCTTAGGTAGAATTTGGGAACTGGACGTAATCCCATCTGACTGGTCTCAATCACTGATTGTGCCAGTCTATAAGAAAGGACAAAAGTCCTCTTGTGACAATCACAGAGGAATCAGTTTGACTAATATAGTGTCTAAAATATTAGCTTCAATAATACTTCGACGCCTAACCAAAGCTCGTGAAGAGCAGATTAGAGAAAACCAGGCCGGTTTTCGACCTGGACGTGGTTGTATAGATCAGATATTCACACTACGTCAGGTTCTAGAACACAGACACACATTCAGACGCCCCACAATGGTAGTATTTCTCGACCTTAAGGCGGCATTCGACTCTGTTGATCGTGAGGTTCTATGGCAGTGTTTGTCACTGAAAGGAGTACCAAAGAAGTACATTAACCTTATACAGGCTCTCTACTCGAACACAGCTGGTGAGAATTGATTACCTCAAGTGGTGTTCGTCAGGGCTGTCCACTCTCCCCATTCTTGTTCAACTTTGTGGTTGACGTACTTTTAGAGATAACACTCTCCTCATCTAAATTTCCAGGGGTTGAACTTCTACCGGGAGGTTCACTTGTTGACTTAGAATATGCTGATGACATAGTTTTATTTGGTGAAGACGCTGACAAAATGCAGAGTCTTCTGACCACTCTAAGCAACAATGCAAGCATGTTCGGGATGCGATTCCCCCCTCGAAATGCAAAATGTTGCTTCAGGATTGGGTTACATCGACACCCGAACTAGTGATAGGGAGTGAAGTAGTTGAGTGTGTCGACCGCTTCACTTATCTTGGAAGTCTCATCAGCCCTTGTGGTCTGGTGTGCGACGAAATCTCAGCACGGATACAGAAGGCTCGACTAGCTTTTGCCAACTTGCGTCATTTATGGCGTAGGCGAGATATCCGTCTATCAACCAAAGGACGTGTTTACTGCGCAGCAGTTCGTTCCGTCCTACTTTATGGCAGTGAAACATGGCCGGTAAGAGTAGAGGATATCCGTAGGTTACTAGTATTTGATCATAGGTGTCTTCGAAACATTGCTCGTATATCATGGGACCATCGAGTAAGTAACACAGTTGTTAGGAAACGAGTACTAGGTAAGGATGGCAAATCAATTGATGAAGTGGTGAAAGTTCATCATTTGAGATGGCTGGGACATGTGTTGCGTATGCCGAACAATCGACTGCCCCGACGTGCGATGTTTTATGGTGTAGGAGTAGGTTGTAAGAAAGCTAGGGGCGGTCAGACCTAAACATGATATAAGTCCATGAAGTCACTGACAAGTGGAATGAGTCATGTTGGTAAGTGTAGACTACCTGGTTGGGGACCGCGAGATGATAGTAACCGATGGTTAGAAAGTCTGAATGACATGGCTCAAAATCGTTTGCAATGGCGCAGGTGCATCCACTAATTGTGTTCTCCCAAATGCTAATCTTCTGAATATTCCTTGTCTCTTTTTTTCTCTTTCCAAATTTATTTCACTGTATTATACTCCTTGATTAACATCTTCAAGCCCTAGTGTTTCCGAGTACTGCTTATACTCTTACTGCCTCTACCGTTGTAGGATTTGAATGGACAACTGCATCTCTTTGAAAATGTGTTGTGGCAACTCGAACTGATGTACTTACGTACGAAGTTCTACGTTGTTACTGACTGATTGACTGACCCATGTTGTGCTGAATAAATATTATGATGAATGAAAGCATGATCTCTTGTTTTGCTTCATCCTAACACCATGATATATGGAGTTTCTTAGGGAGATCATTTATGCATCCTGTTGAAGAGTTCTTTGTTAAGTCTAATCGGATTCTCAGTTCCTCCTTGTGTTTAGTAGTTTTCTGGTTCATCGTATTCTCTCAATGAGGAGCGGTGGCTTAATAAATGAGGCGTTCGACTTTCAGTCACTCAGTCCCCAGATTCGAACTCCTGTCCACTCACTTCGGTTTTGGCAATGTGGTAGTATCATTGACCTCCTTACCTAGAGTATGGTTCATATCTAAGTACCTGGAAAATGAATTAATCTAAAATAACTCGGTGTTTTATACTGTAGTTAAGTGAATTTGGTTCTTTCGATGACTTGTATCAACTACTTTAATGAATGGTCTGGGTTAGTTCCTACGACCGTCAACATGATTATCGTTATCAAAGTCGATTTACGGTCCTAATGATATAACTGATCAACTTGATTTCACTTCCCACAATAAATTGACATGATTAGAATCACTATTTATATATTTATTTATATGAACAAAAATATTGGTAGAAAGGGAGCACTGAATACATATGCACCACACAAGTCAATTGATTTGTATGTGGGCTATGATACTGCTCTGGTGCCCAAACCGAAGCAGGTAGTTTTCTTAGGAGGCCACAACCCAAGCCTTCGACCTAAAGGTTTGATCCATAAGTCGGAGGAGCAACATAAGGAGATGCA